CTCTTGAATGACTTTGAGAGTTATCTTCTTGTTGAGCCCTTAACACCTCTTTACCTGGCTATATAATTGGGGGGGAAAAAAACAACCAATAAACCATTTAAATGAAGAAACCAAGAATGTCCTAAAACAAGGGCTAACCTCAGAAAACATGTCTTCTGACCATTGATACATCTTGTCGTTCCTAAGGAATAAAATGCTTACAAAGTTCCAATATATATGAAAGTTAAGGTTGTTCAGTATTTTCTTCCTCAGCTCTCTCTCTCTCTCTACACAAAACAAACACAAAATATTACCCACAATAAACCCTAAAATGAAAAGTGTTGCTTCATCTTACCAACACAAAAAACACTGCTGTCAAGTCAATCCCAACTCATAGTCATAGCGACCCTATAGGACAGAGAAGAACTGCCCCACTGGGTTTCAAAGGCTGTAATCTTTACAGAAGCAGATCTTTTGGTTAGCAGCCGAGGGCTTACCCACTGCACTGCCAGGGCTCCTTCTTTATCCCACAGATCAATAGTTCATCCAGTTTACATAGGGTGATTTCTAAATAGTCTGTGAAGAAATACATCAATAATGCCAGATTATAAATAAGTCCAACATAAGCCACAGAGATGACCCACCGGACACAAGGCTTGTCCTTCTTGCTGAGTCTCTGGACCTGTTATCCACACGGGCAAGCTAAGCCCTGCATCTATACTTGCTTGACGTGACAGTTCTCATTATGGCTGTTCCCCTTTCTCTCTACTAGCCAGTCCACCATTAGCAAACAGCTAATGCACTTGGCTGCTAACTGAAAGACTGAGGATGAAGAAAGAAGCCGATGAGTATTACTTAGCATAAGGATAAAGAAACAATGAAAACACACACACACAGTAAAGATCACCATCCTGTGCTGGGTCAAGCTCTCTAAGACTCTGCCGAGTCCAGTCTCCTTGTAAATCGAGGATAAGATGTTCTTATATTACGTTGTCTCTCAAGCCATTCTCTTTCTGTATGCATCAGAATCCCCCATATCCTATAGAACCATGAGAGAGATTGATGTGTGTTTGAAAACACGCAGAACAGACCAAGAGGTCCACCCGTGAAAACACAAGACCAGGCAGGAACTCTAAAACCAGTAGTTTAGGAAATAAAATAAGTAGGTTAAATTTCATGTGTTAAAAATATGTTTATGTGGAAGATCAGTATTTATTCTTTTTGTATCTCCTTTTCACCTTCCATACTTGCTCGGTGTAGAGGATATAAAGTTTAGACAATACAATTTCATTTTTTTATTGCAATATTGATGGTTTTATGACAACATTTATGGTTTTAACCAAAAAGCTTGTACTTTTAATTTATATCAAAATCTAAAAAAAATTAAAAGTGAATTATTAGTACATTTAAGGCCATTAAATATACTTAAAATGACTGAGTGTGATAAATTACTTTTTTTAAAAAACTATTATCTATATAACACATCTGCAGAATCTTAAAGTGATAATTGCATTCAATTTTAATTCGGCAATCAAATATTGAGTGCCTATCATTGTATGTAAAGGAACCTGGTGGTGCAGTGGTTAAGTGCTCTGCTGCTAACTGAAAAGTCATTGGTTCGAATCTATCAGGCGCTCTGTGGGAGAAAGATGTGGCAGCCTGCTTCTGTAAGGATTTACAGGCTTAGAAACCTTGTAGGGCAGTTCTCTGTCTAATAGGGCCACTGTGAGTCAGAATCAACTCAATGGCAATGGGTTCGTTTTTTTTATCATTGTATGTGCCATGCTCTTAGCTAGGAATTCTTTCTAATCTTTAAATTTCACCAGGAAAGCTCTATGGCCCTCTTCTATCTTGAGCTAGACAAGGTCAAATCTCATTGCTTTTACTATAGCATAATCACAAAATATAATAGCTCTGGTCCTGATCTCTCTTCTAAACTACCGACCAATATTTTCAATTCTCTAAAAGATGTCCTAATCTGGATTGTTCTGCAGACTCCCAAATTTTTATATATTCTTGAGACTAGTCCCTTATAAGATGTATGATCTGCAAGTATTTTCTCCCATTCTGCACATCATCTTCTCACTTTCTTGATGGTGCCGTTTAAAACATCGAAGGTTTTCATTTTGATGAAGTCCAGTTTATGTATTTTTGTTCTTTCGTTACTCGTGCTTTTGGTGTCGTATCTAAGAAACTACTGCCGAATACAGGACACCCTAAGTTTTACATAACCTGACTCTGAGGATGGAATTAGGTGCCCTTTCTGTGGTCTCCTGTGACACCCACCACAGAATTTACCACTCTGCACCTTCCTTGTCTGTGAATTGGTCTGTCAGCCCCATTGAACTCTTCCAGGGTGGGCACTTACTATCACCTCTGGGTGAAATCAGTGGCCTGTCTGGATGAAAATTGGTAAAATTTTATAATATCTCATCACATAAAAAGAAAATGTGTGACTGAAGAGATCAGTGGTGTCTTAGTGGTTGTGCTACAGAAATATCCCTACAACTTGTTCTTATTTTTCTCAATGGTTAAAAAACAAAACAAGACAAAAATCAATTGGGTTAGACTTTGCAAACACTTCATGGAGCTATTTGCTTTGTTCTTTCCCTTCCTTCTTCTGTCTTCTTACATGTGTGGCCCTTCTTCTACCTTCCTGAAAACTCTTGTCTTTTACTGGCTTTCTCTCTTCCTCACGTGCCTTAACTGTGGGGTTTTCTCCAAGGGTCAAGCCCCTCCTCATTCAGCTGTCTTTCCCTCTGCAAACAAAGGCAAAAGGCAGTCTCAAAACTTCAAAACTCACCACAGTAGAAACGCTTCCTCAATCTATTTCTCCAGGCCTGGGCCCTACTTCTATATGTGTCTCTTGACAGGCACACGTTGAGATTCCCTGACAGTACTTCAGACTCAAACAAAAATCACCCCAGTGCATCCAAACCACTTCCGCATCCTGTTGTCCGTAGCTTTCCATGACTTGTGGAAAATCACTGAGGTGAAGGAACTGGACTGCAGGGCTAATTGCCTTCTTAGCCATGAGATCAGAACTGGATGGTGCTATCATTACTGAACACTTTGATCAAGGAATCAACAGATGAATTCTGATCAAAAAGGGGAAAATGTGGAACAGATTTTAAAGTTCTTACAGAATCCAGACTTACTGGACTTATTGAGATGGGAGGAAACCCCGAATCTATTCCTCTGAGAAAATCTTCAAACTACGAACAAAAATTATTCCCTGAAGTCATCTTTAAACAACCGTTTAGCTAAATTAGTAAAGAATGTTTGCCATCAGCATTGTGCTCTTTTAAAGAATTATCTATATGAGATCAAATTGTCAACAGTAACTCTAAAGCATAGATGAGAAGGTTGGGGGTAGTGAATCTAAATCAATGGTAATGAAACACCATGGGTAGAGATAGTGAAAATGCTGACACAATGTGAAGAATGTAACCAATGTTATTAGATCGTATGTATAGAAATTGAGGAATGGGCGTATGTTCTGCTGGATATATTTTCACTAAAATTAAAATTAAAAAAAAGAAAATCATTATGGCTCCTGACTATGACATTCAAGGCCCTCACCATCCAGCCCTACTTTCCTACTGCTGTCTTTTCTCTCTCTGCTTCCCAGCAAAATCCATGGATCCAGTGAGACAGACTTGGGAATGAAATAAACCTGGGAGGATCAAATCCCAACTCTGCCATACATGGTGTGTGATTAAGGGACAACTAGGCAGCCGCTCTGAACCTCAGTTTCTTCATCTGTCGAACGTGAATGAAAATAATAGTAGCTACCCCATAGCGTTGTTGGGATAATAAAATGTGACAATATGGGAAAAAGACTTGGCAAAGTCTCTGGCACAGAGTTGTACTCTATAAATAGTAGCTGTTGTAATTATTGATCTCTGGATGGCAAAAATGGTTTGTGCTGACTACTGACATATAGGTTGGCAGTTTGAACCCACCCAGCAGCAACATGGAAGAAAGACCTGACAATCTGCTTCTATAAAGATCACAGCCAAGAAAACCCTATGAAGCAGTTATAATCTGTCACACATGAGGCTGCCATGAGTCAGAATCGACTTGGTGACAATGGGTTTGTTTTTTTTGGTTTATTATAAATTATTAATACACGCTTGACATCTCCTCTGTGCATAGCTCTATTCTGTAAAATTTGCTAAAAATTTTATATTCTGCTTCACTGTCTTTGAATAATCACAAAGTAAAGGTTGCCCATTTTTCTCACCTCCATGCCAAATTCAGTCTCCGATTCTTTCTCACGGGGACTTTGTAAGCGCCTAGGTCGTGGGGTGGGAATTTCCTGCAGTAAAGCACTTTCTGCTTTGGACTAAAAGTCAAATAAAAAAAAATTACTGCCACGGAATGTCAACAATGCTATGAAAACTTCACTTACGGTCTCAGTAGAAACTAATCAGTAAAAAAGACACACTATACTTCTTTAAGGGATGAGAGCAAGTCTATTGGTTTAGAAAAATGGCATTAAATTATTTTGAAGCATAACTTTCATCTGTGCCAATGTAAAATACTGCATTAACATTTAAAACATGAAGGATAAATTTAATGGTATTCAAATACATGCAGTCTGGAGCAAACAAAGCAAGCTAGACAAGACCTGAAGAGCTGCAATCAGCGCGAACAAAATATCTGTGTGGTTTCTCTCACCCTTGCAGCTTGTAATTTCTCCCTCATGCGTTCCCTCATGGAAAATTCTGCAAAGCTTGTTCTGGAAGCTGCAGGAATTGGAGGTAAGCCTAAAAAATACAGACAAATTACTTAAAAACAACATTTTTTAAAGGGAAGAGTAAATTAAAAACACAATCAAAGAGAATGTAATTTTACTTTGCAAATTTAGAAATTCACATAAGCAAACATGAAATAATGCTGACAACCCTCCTTTTTACATTATAAGGACATGTCTTGGCTTCTTTGAGTAGGACAGCGAACTCTCGACCCAGCCAACTCTGTCACATTGACTTAATGAAGAATAAAACCAATGGCATGAGACTATTCAAGGCTCAAAAACACTTACCAATTCAATTATCGTTGGGAAGGGGCGCGAAAATTTGTTGAGTTGAGGAACAGGCTTGTCAGGTGAATGGATGGCTAATGAGTTTGGGGTTTTTAGGGTTCAACTTTTAAACGTGCTGCTAACTTCAATCAGAGAAACCTTTTCTACAGCCCTGGACTATATCACGTTGTTGTTAGCGGCCCTCGAGTAGGCTCTGACTCATGGTGACCCCATGTATAACAGAACTAAATGTTGCCTGGTCTTGCAGCATCTTTTGGTTGTTGCTATGTTTGAGTCCATTTTTGTGGCTGCTGTGTATTGTGAGTGCCTTCCAACTTAGAGGTTCATCTTCCAGTACTATATTGGGCTATATTCTGCTGTGCTTCATAGAGTTTTCATTGGCTAAGTTTTAGAAGTAGACCACCAGTCCTTTCTGCCTACTTTGTCTTGGTGTGGAAGGTCCACTGAAACCTGTCCACCATGGGTGATCCTGCTGGTATTTGGAATACCAGTGGCATAGCTTTCAGCTTCCATCATAGCAACATGCAAGCCACCACAGTATGACAAACTGACAGATGGGCAGTGGCTATCTCATAGACATCATATATTTTGTACATATTATTGGAATACATATGTAAACATCATGAACTATTGTGCAGCTTGATGCGTTGGGCACTGTGCTCCATGTGTTGGCTGCATTTTCTCATCAGTCTGCACTCAGGTATAATTACCACCATGTGTCTTGAAGATGGAGACTCTGAGGCCCTGCATGGTAAGCAACCAGCTCTACCAGCTCTACCATCACACACCAGCAGGTGGCATGCTTGGTGTTTGGTCAAGTTCTGTCATTCCCCAGTGTTCTAAACCATTACAAAAGATGTGGAAATAAACATGGAGCCTTCAGGGAGCAGAGGGTCTCTCCTGGGACGAAGTAGGGGATAAGATTGGAGAAGGAGTCTGGAGTCAAGTTATGGAGAGCCTCGGATGTCACACTAAGGAGTCCAGACTATATTCTCCCAGCAGTGGGGAAGTCTTCACGAATGTGTAGAGGAGGAAGTGAATGTCAGCAGAGTTTTCAGAAACTGCACCTGGTAGGAGTAATGGAGAAGCTACAAAAAGAAAAAATACAATGGGACCTAGTGAGCAATTGGTAGGTGTTGTGGGTTGCATTGTGTCCCCTAAAAAATATGTTCAAGTCCTAACCCTCAGTACCTGTGAAGATGACCTTATTTGGAAAGAGGGTCTGAGTGGATGTAATCAAGTTAAGATGAGGTCATACTGATTATGGCGAACCCTGATCCAATGACTTGTGTCCTTATAAGAAGAGGGAAATGTGGATGCAGAGGCAGACTCAGGCGGAAATGCCATGTGAAGACAGAGGCAGAGATTGGAGTGATGCATCTACAAGGCAAGAAATGCCAATGACTGCCAGCAACCACCTGAAGCTAGGAGAGAGGCATGGAATAGTTTATCTCCCATAACCCCTAGAAGGAACCAACCCTGCTGACACCTGAGTTTTAAACTGCTAGCCTCTAGAACCCCTAGAACTCTAGAAAGAATAAATTTCTGTTGTTTCAAACTGCCCAGTTTGTGGTACCTTTTTACCGCAACCTAGGAAACTAATACAGTAGGTATAGAGCAGTAGCTCTCACCAAGAGCATGAGCAGCTTTTGGGAACTTGTTAAACATGCAGACTCTTGGCCTGCCCCAGACCTACTGAATGGGAGACTCTGGAGGTGGAGCCCAGCAATCTAGGTGATTTCAGTGGACACTCAAGTTTGAGACGCCCTGGTATTGAGAAAGAAGAAGGTGAAGGTGTCTGAGGTTTTGGCTGATATGATCAGGAGTTTGATGCTGCTGAGAGAGAAAGAGGAGAGGAAGGCAGACTGGGAGGTTGTTGTTCTCCAGAGTTCTTTAAAAGAATCTCAAACAGCCCAATGAAATGGCCTTTTGCATTGTTTTATTAACTCTTTCATTTATTTATTTATTTTTATTGTTGTAATTAAATGAAGTTTACATTTCAAGTTAGTCTCCCATACAGAATTTTTTTTTTAACATACATTGTTATGAGACCCCAACCGCTCACCCCATTCTGCGACAGCACACTCCTCCCCTCCGCCTCTGATTCCCCATGAGCATTCAACCAGCTCCTAACTCTCTCTGCCTTCCCCTCTCACCTCTGGACAGAAGCCGC